ACAACAATATATGTATTCATGACAAAGAATGCAGATCTGATCAGCACCCTTAGATCTGATTTTAATTTGACGTCCTCTCTTGAACTCAATCGCAGCAGATGGGCCACAGATACTGATGTCATTTCCTGAATCTTTCGAAAGTATGCGCACATTAAAATGCAACAGCCCGCATAACTCTTTCCATCAGTCAGAAGCTTCTATTTTCAAATAAATGACAACAATGGATAAAAAAAAATTACTTAGTGACAGTTTCCGGTCTACATCGGTTCAATGATGGCATCAGATTGTAATAAAATAGGACTTTGATATATACTGCTTAAATGATAATAAATATATACAATGCAAAAAAAAAAAAAATTATAATATTATTTAATAATATAATGTAATTAAATAAGTAAGGAACAATTAAAAATGGGCATTGAATTATTAGAAAATGATGCAGATCCGAGGTGGTAATGATATAGTCATAATAATTGTATTCAAGAAATTGTTCAGATGTTTTACTTCAAGATATTTGTCAAGTTTTTGCATGTACCTTCTTGTGTGTAGGACTATATCTATATATGAAGAGTTCAGATGCAAAAGCCTCTAAGTGCCATTTGAAATTTTCTTCTTTAATGATGATTTTTATCAAACTTGTATATTTAAGTTTAGTAATTTCACTTAAATAGCAATGATAATTACCTATTAATTGTTATTTAAGTGAAATTACTGAACTTAAATATACAAGTTTGATAAAAATCATCATTAAAGAAGAAAATTTCAAATGGCATTTAGAGGCTTTTGCATCTGAACTCTTCATATCTATAATATCTCTTCCCACACAATTTTTGAGCTAGGCTATGTTTATAGTTAAAAACATGCCACAGGACAGGTTAATAACTTTTGGAGGCTGGCTCTTTTTATAATCAAAACAAAAATAAATTACAGATTAGATGGATGAGGGCGAGGGTGATCCTCGCTCCAATGCGAGACAACAGGTCATCAAACTGGGCGCGGGACAGGCGGAAGTACCGCTGACAGCGGCCGTCATCCAGTCGCAACTCCTTGAGCGAGCAAATGGTGAAACTCGTCAAATGGTTCGCCTCCGAAGGGTCCGGTGGAAACAAATACGGCGACGATGATCCCACGCCGCTGTTCTGCTCTCCAGAGCGGTGACTCTCTCGATGAATGCTCGGTCGACATAAAAAAAAATGGCCGCCAACGGATTTCGATTCTGACGTGCGTCAATTTCGCTCTTGACGCGCGAAAGGATTCAAAGTGGTCAAGCGTGTAACTAGACGCGGTAGGCGAATTTGACGACTTTTTTTTTAACTGTTGGTCCATTAAGTGTCAGTAAAGTACTGTTTATTAGAGGCCATAATGTGAAAACACAGGCTACATATAAAGGACTATATTATTTCACAGTGTCTTATGAACTGAAAACTAAAGTATTGATAAGGGCTGACGCTAATTAGAAGGATTCCAGACGGAGGAAGAGCAGACGAAGGTTGCTATGCACTGAAGGCACTGCAGTCGGCTGTACAATGACTGTTATGCACTTGCATGTTCAGCGCATGCTGTGAAGAGCCTGTCCAGACGTCTGCACCGCAAGAATGGATTCATTCACTGCTGGCACATGTCTATAATTTCTCGGTTGTAAATCAGCATCTTTGAGGGCGTGTTTATTCACACACACAAGTCTAGAACGGTCTTGTAGCTGAACTGGTCTGGAAAAAAGACAAAATCAGCAGGGTAAAAATCAAATTTCACATTTTTATAAGAAACTCTTGGAATATTACATATTTTAACTCATTTTATAAATCTGTAAAACAGCAGTTATTGGATAATTAAACATGTCATAACCATGAGTGGCTCGGTTTTTCTATAAGCTTATGTTAAGTCATTTTGTTGTGTTTTTGCACCAATATTTTTCTGTTTACTTGCATATAATGTACTATAGAGTCATTGTTTTACTAATTATAGGCATATATCATTTCTGTTGTGTCTTTTTTCTTCTTCCTGCCATCAAACTGCCACAGACTGCAGATGAAAATTTGCCTGTATGGCTAAATCTGGCACATTTATATGACGGACACAAGTGCCCATGTCAATTAATCTGCATTCAAATAAAATAAACATAAAATAATAATACTAGTGGCTCGAGAAAAATGCTTTGTATAACTTTGACACTGCAGATTTCAACAAAAGCAGTTACAGATGAGAGACTGGAATATGTGAAATATAGTTGATTGACAAACACATATCATAAGTCTCCTCAGATCAATGCAAGACAGAAAAAGAGGATGGCAGCGTTCCCAAATCCACACCAACACAGAATTCGGCACAGCAATCTGCCTCCACTGACTGTGGTTTTAAGGCTGCTGATTTGCTCAAAGTGAAAGAATGAGTTTAAGCACAACAATGGTGAAAAACGAGTGTCATGTAGGTTGTCCACTGTCCAAACCTCGTCTCCTTGGCTCCATGCAGTCTTGCTCTCATCGGTGGCGTCGGTCTGTGAGGATAACAGATCACACCTCTTTTGTGAGTGTGGGATTGCACACGGGCCAAGGCTCAGTAAATCAGCACCAGTGAGGAGCAGAACTGAGCAGAACCGGCAGCAAGTGTGTTCTGCTAGCTCATAAGCCTAAAAACACTACAACTTTTTTTAACGTCATTAATTGGAACAATGGCATTATTTACAGTATACTCATTTAAATCCACATACTGTGGTGTACACAAATACATATACATACTCACCTGAAGGATTATTAGGAACACGTGTTCAATTTCTCATTAATGCAATTATCTAATCAACCAATCACATGGCAGTCGCTTCAATGCATTTAGGGGTGTGGTCCTGGTCTAGACAATCTCCTGAACTCAAACTGAGGCCCTGTTTACAGTACACGAGAATGCTCGCGGGTGAAAATGTAAAAATATTTTATCGGATGTGCCTTTCGTTTACACGGTGACGGCGTTTTTGAGGCTTAAAAACGCAAAAAAGTGAAACCACCCTCCAGAGTGGAAATCTTAAAAACGCTTCACCGCTGCGTTCCCGTGTAAACGGTAAAAACGCAAAAGTCTGCTTGACAGTGAAGGTTGTACGCAGGGGCGTGGACTTGGTGTTGTAGTATGCACTCCTAGCTGCCTGAAGTGCATACTACATTGAATTTCACACACTTTTGAGTCACCATTTGCACGCGGATTTCCCATACAAAACGCTCGTCTAAACGCAGAATAAAAAGTGATGACGTAACGCCACTTTTGCGTTTTCTCTTCAGAATCGTTTCCGTGTAAACATAGCCTGAATGCCAGAATGGGAAAGAAAGGTGATTTAAGCAATTTTGAGCGTGGCATGGTTGTTGGTGCCAGATGGGCTGCTCAGTTACTGGGATTTTCACGCACCACCATTTCTAGGGTTTACAAAGAATGGAGTGAAAAGGGAAAAACATCCAGTATGTGGCAGTCCTGTGGGCGAAAATGCCTTGTTGATGCTAGAGGTCAGAGGAGAATGGGCCGACTGATTCAAGCTGATAGAAGAGCAACTTTGACTGAAATAACCACTCGTTACAACCGAGGTATGCAGCAAAGCATTTGTGAAGCCACAACACGCACAACCTTGAGGCGGATGGGCTATAACAGCAGAAGACCCCACCGGGTACCACTCATCTCCACTACAAATAGGAAAAAGATGAATAATAATGTTTGAATGTTAATAATGTTTGAAAGATAAATAATACTAATGTTGAAAAACATAAATGTTTCTTGAGCAGTAAATCAGCATATTAGAAGGATCATGTGACACTGAAGACTGGAGTAATGATGCTGAAAATTCAGCTTTGATCACACAAAATAAATTACCTTTTAAAATACATTCAAACAGAAAATTGTTATTTTAAATTTAAAATTACACATTTAAAATGTATTTTACCAGGACAAATTACTTGTCTCCAATCATTATAATAGGCTAAGTGATGTCGAATTATAGTTCTACCTAAATTTAGCTTTTAATGAAAATAAAATATCAGTTTCAATCAAAAACAAATGCATAAAAAATGCATATGGCATCGAGTCCTGCACGAACGCATATTTTGAAAGAACTGATCTGATTCTTTAAGCTGTGACATCTGGGCACAGAAAGTTCACATTACAAAAAGTTACAAGTTACAAAAAAGGGGAAAAAAAATAAAAGCGTTTGGTAGCATAATTTAAAAATTGAAATATTAATCAGCCCAATCGCACAGATTGAAACCTAGAAGTCCTTCAATTCAAAAAACACCAACCTTGACACAAGCATCAGTCATTGTTACTCACTTTCTCCCTCTGTTGGTCAACAGGGAGTTTGAGTGACCCAGTCAAACACTTGTCTGTCAGTCCAGTACTGGGCAGATAAAAACAATTACACGTAAGATTCACCAGCATAGAAAGATGTTTGTGGTTTCCTATTGCATATGATAAACACACATATGATGAACTGTTGCTGTTACTGTATTAGGAAAACACCAGCGCCTGATTTCAGCCCAATATTCAATACAAAACCTGGCTTCATTTGTTTATGTAAACCTAATAAATCATATCTTTGGGGATGTCGTCTCTCGAAGCGACCCTGGAAATTCATAAATCTTAATTTTCATTCAAATGACAACTATAGGCGATATACAGCATTAATGTTATGCCATGATGTCTATTTTTATACAAAGCTGTCAAAATCCAAGGCAGTCTATAAACAGCATCTTAACCACAAAGTACTTGTGTTTGGGGGCACTGAGGCCAGGGAAAATACACCTTGCCAAAAGTATAAGAGGTTATACCTCGAGTACGGCGAATCGCTGCCGCATTGAGTCCCTCTGGAGAACTCTAAAAATACTTGGCAGCCAAGCGCAAGAGAAAACATATATGCATGCACTAAACCCGCCTTTATCTGCTTTCTCACACATCAAAACCTCCCCCAAATGACGCGCCGCCCCTACCAAACCCTTCAGGAGTCAGTAAATTCAGCATTCACTCTCAGACTGAATTCAGAGTGGCATCTACAGGGGTCACCAAACCGAGCTTAACTTCACGTTGACATGAATTAACTGCATGCGCAGGACCAGGACTGTCATTTAGACTCACTTTACCGGCGGGACCGCGCGTGGTTCATCTTTACCTGATGCTGCGTAAAAGTGGACCGTGGAAACCGCTGCACGCGCTCTGAAGAAATCGCGTCAGAGGATACCGCTCAGTGTGATTTTACAAACTCTTTGAGCACTTGCGCTTGTTCTTACGCGGAGGCAAGAACTGTTGATCCGGACAGACCTGCTTCTCATCCAAATGGATGCGCAATAATGGATTAATGCAACTTTTCCGCGCAGTTCCCCTGACCTGACAAACCCCTCCTGAGGATTTTATCCCGGCAACCTTTACCTGATTGTGTCCTCTCTTCCTCTCAAGATGTCATCGGAGTATTTGATAAGGTCACTGCTTATGCTCTTTCTAGCACTCTTCTCCGCCAACGCGAGCAACTGGCTGTAAGTGAATGTCACTTTCTTCATTCATGTGATGTTTTGACGTCTGTTATGACTAAAGTCAGATTCCCAAAAGCAAATGTGTAGCGTGTCAGTGCACCACAATTAATGAGCCATGGCAATCACAAATCTGACTGATGATGATATGATCATATAAAATAAATGAGAATATTCAGCACTTACCTTTGTAGATTGCATAATGCCGCACATTTTTAAACGCGCAGAAGACAGAAGTGCAGAAGTGTGTTGTGGCCTATAGTATAGAAAATAAAAGCATGCATTGAAGGGAGAGCACAAAATATAAGGTTATTTGGAGACATCACAAACTTTCAGTTCATGTGCATTTGGCACAAATGCGCATGGCGCTGGTTGCGCGCTGCCTGGAGAGCAAAGCATGAATATGACAGCAGTAACAGCGCTCTTCATCATTCTTGCAGTGCTGAACAGAGCTGGAGAAATAAATTATTTCATAATAGTTTACGATTATCCCAAGGAAGCAATGGTCTGATTTAGACATTCATATTGGTTAAGTAGAATAGCAGGCTTGGTTTAGGCCAAATGAAGGCTTGCATTTCTAGCCGTTTAAAATAATTTATCTGTATCCCCAGGGCAGTACATCATTTAATCTATCCAGATCAAGTTGAGTTTTCGATGGAAGAGTGTTTTTAACTTAGGCGAGGTGACAGGTTTGGGGCATGTACAGACACGCTTCACACTAAAGGAAAACCTCCTACCTGTCTACAAAATATGATCATTCTGACAGGAGCCTGTTCACTATTCCAACCCCGTCCCAGGACAGGTATTAGCAAGTAGCCAAATAGACATTAGACAAGTTATATGAGCAACACGTGGGCATGAGTGTAGTCTTAAGAAACAATATCTTGATAGGAAAATATCTAATGACATATTTGACTTGCACTGAAGTAAAATGTGTGATAAGAAAATGTGTGAAGAGACTAAATGTACAAATGTAAAACCTGCAATATCCAACAAAAAAAGGTTTCTTAATAGTATAAAAGATATATTAGTAAAAAAAATATTGTTCAATCAATGGAACCAGCATGACAACTGGGCGAATTCAAAACATTTCAGTAAATCCATTGCATGCGTTTTGATCTTCAGACATATAAATCTTCTAAGCAACACTGCTATTCTAGTTTAAATAAAATCAATATAATAGTGACCTCAACTTATACAAACATGCTGCACTTTAAGTCTGAGGTGTAGATGTGAGGTAAGATTAAGAAAACACAGTTTATGTTTTGTCTCACTCATTTAAAATAAAATCAGATAACAGTGAGCAACCAAACTCATTCGGTTTGAGTCAAAGCCTGTGAACTATTATGCATTCAGTTCAATAGCACCTGCACGCACTCTTAAAAATAAAGGATCTGCAATGGTTTATGGGTCTTCTATAGTAGTTTATAGGTCTCTTCAGAGATTAAAAAGATGATTTTGATGTTTTAGGTTCTTCAGATCAGTGTTGCTAAAGGCATCAAGTCATAATGAAATGTTTTGAAGCGCAGCTTTGTGGGATGTGTGAATGTATTTAGTCGAGCACCTGTATGGAGGGCACCTGCACAGCTTCAAACCTTCAAATCTACAGCATGTGCTTGCTCATGCAAATACAAGCTTACATTGCTCTATCAATTTTTATCAATGACTATTTGCGGTTGTTTTGTGTTAGAATGCCAGCAATGAATCACTAATTAGAGAGCATAAATAGCAGATGGTCGATGTTATCAAACAGACTCTTTTCTAAATAAATACTGCAAATGGTCTCTCAATACTTATTCTAATGCATTTTGACAAGCAGCGACTCTTGCTTTCATCTCGGCTTGGCAAAGACGGCATGCTGCTTTTGATCAAACTTCAAAATCCTTAAAGGGATCGTTCGCCCAACAATAATTTACTCACCCTCAGATAAACACAAACAAAGATTTCTTGGAAAATAATCCATCTCTGTGAGTGCGTTGAATGGCTGCCACTCGTTTCACGCTTGAAAATCCACACACAGCGATCATAACAGTAATCGTACGACCCCAGTGGACGAATCACTGTCTTCTGAACTTCTAGGGTGGCATGAGAGTGAGTAAATGACAGAATTTTAATTTTTAGGTGAACTGTCCCTTTAAGTGGAGACTTACATTTCTGACTGAAACTCCTAGAGCTTTCAAATGAAATCCACCAAAGTTTGCACAGTCTGTGTGCAGGGTTCAGACTACACAATATTTTTGTCTGTTATGATAGTCACTATTTCTGATTATCCTACTTTGGCTCCTAAAGAAACATGTCAGACTACTCATTGCTTCTTGACCAATCATCGCTTGTCATCTTTAATGACATGCATGATGTCATCGAGAAGGCGGAACTAGCGACTGATTTCCTTGAACAAGAGCACAAACGAACAATGGCTACCGAAGCGGCGTGTTTGCTCCTATTAGTCAGCGTTACAGACGGAACCTTTCGGAAAAAAGTTAAACATAGTCTTTCTTTCAGGACGTCGTGAAGCGCCTCGACGTGGTGTCGTCGGTTGTCATCTATGACAATCTTTAAATGAGTAGTTCACTTTTAAAAAAACTTTTGCTGATAATTTACTCACCCCATGTCATCCAAGATGTCCATGTCATTCTTTCTTCAGTCGAAAAGAAATTAAGGTTTTTGATGAAAACATTCTAGAATTTTTCTCCATATAATGGACTTTAATGGGAACCAAACGGTTCAAGGTCCAAATGACAGTTTCAATACAGCTTCAAAGCGCTTTAAACGATATCAGATGTAAATGAACAAATCTTTTTCGAGTCATTTGGTTCATTCAACAAACGAAATGAGCGAAATGATTTGAAAAAGGATTCGTTCATTTTGATGAACAAGTTCAAACAGGAGAGTCACGAACGCGCATCACAGAACAGAGCAAGGCGGGCATTTGTGCTTATAAAACTTAAACGTTTTTATTTATTTTTGAAATGAGCGATCGTTTCGCTAGATAAGACCCTTATTCATCGTCTGGTGTCGTTTAAAGCCCTTTGAAGCTGCACTGAAACTCTCATTTGGACCTTGAACCGTTTGGTTCCCATTGAAGTCCATTATATGGAGAAAAATCCTGGAATGTTTTTATCAAAAAACCTTAATTTCTTTTCGACTGAAGAAAGAAAGACGTGGACATCTTGGATGACATGGGGGTGAGTAAATTATCAGCAAAAGTGTGTTTAAAAGTGAACTAATCCTTTAAGTATAAAAACCTACATAAGGCCTAAGCAACCTTCACAATTCAATGGTTTTTAAAGTTTGTCTTGATGAACTTTCCTATTCCATTATGCAATCATTTCAGAAGCTAAAAAAGAGTTGCACTCTGTCAAATACAGAAGCTGAGATGGGTTTAAGATGCTGAGTACTACTCGATCGCAGTTATGTTATTGAGTAACCATGCAGTCGTATTTGTTTAGGATGCGATGCAGTGTTACTCTCCGCGTGGGATGGAAAGAACAGTGGTGGAGAGTAGACGTTTGCACATGGATGGTCAATAAATAGTTCACAGCTGATGAGCAACATGAGAAGAGAGAAACCTCTAATGTGAAAAACATTCTGGCGCCGAGGGCTGATAACACAAATAACACCGGTGACAACAGGGTAATGAAGCTGTAAAACCTGTTGTCACATACCTCCACTCATACAACAGCCTATTAAAAGGTTAACTTAATAAAACAGGTCGGCTTTTATCTTTTTCCTGTATTAGATTCAGGACATTTATGCGATTTTAAAGGTTCCTCGTTATGTTTTGGAGTCTCCTACAGAACCTTTACATGCATACAAAGTAAAAAGTTTAATTTTCTTGTAATACACAATTTTATACAAATATATATTGGTATTTCTTGTAATATACATTGCAGCATCAGCTCTTTTCTCACAGTGTCTCACTCTAAAAAATTGCTGGGTTGTTTTAACCCAATTTGGGGTAAAATATGGACAAACCCAGTTTGGGTTAAAAATGTAACTCAATGGCTGGGTTTGTCCATATTTTACCCAAAATTGGGTAACCCAGCATTTTTTAGAGTGCTGAAATGGTTTGATAAAGGGTCCAGTCTCTCTAAACCCCTCTGGTTTCTGAGAGCCAGCTCTGCTCTGATTGGTCAGATGGCCCAGTCTGTTGTGATTGGTCTACCACTTACATCGTATCGGCCGGATCTCTCTCAGCATTAAAACAGTAATGACAACATTGGTTTTAGTGTATTAATTTGAGTCCTTAACCATTGGAAATGCATGCAAAGTGGATTTGCTTTTGCAGAATGTCGACATCACAAACCAAACTCAGCTACAAATACTGTGTTTGAGGGTCAAAAGATGACTCGTTTCATGTTCAGAATCGCTTCTTTCTTTTGGGAAACAATAACTATTTATCTGCACTTTGATCTCTGAAACTTTGCAGATCTTTTATATTTACAAAGAGAGATTGAAAAGTTGAATTTGAGTCAATCTCTTATTTGAGATTGACTCATTTTATTGCAGTAAGCTCAATTAAACACTTTTGCCTTTGCTTTTGTATTTGTATGAAGTAAAAAAATCTTACATTTTAAAAATAAAACTTCAAAAACAGAAAAAAAGTATTTTATCTTCATTTTGTATAATTTATGTCCTCCAGCCTCCTGCATACACTCTAAAAATGCTGGATTGTTTCAACCCAGATTTGGGTCAAATAAGGATAAACCCAAATGTTGGATTAAAAATGTAATTTTAACCCAACTTCAACTTTCACTTTGAACTGTAAATGTTTTAATTACATTTTTAACCCAACATTTGGGTTTGTCCATATTTGACCCAAATTTGGGTTGAAACAACCCAGCATTTTTAGAGTGTATCCATCTTGTGTTCTGACGTTGCTGTCACACGATGTTTAGGATGTTCATTAGGTTAGAGATCAGAATATAAACGAACCCATTTACTTCTTGAATTGATGCAAATTATATTATACACACACTCTAAACAATGCTGGATTGTTTGAACCCAAATTTGGGTCAAATATGGACAAACCCAAATGTTGGGTTAAAAATGTAATTTCAAATGAACCCAACTTCAACTTTCACTTTCAACTGTAAATTTTTTAATTGTAATTTTTAATTTGGGTTTGTCCATATTTTACCCAAATTTGGGTTGAAACAACCCAGCATTTTTTAGAGTGCAAGTATGTGTGTGCAAATGTTTTTCATTTGGGTTTAAAGGCTAACCAGCTAACAGGGAACGTTCTCAGAACTTTGGCTAAAGTTATGGGCAAAAACTCTTATTCGGAGTGTTGGGCTCTAAAAATGATATTATACATTGTTCAAGCAACTTTTTTTCATCTAAAAGAATTTTTTTTTTAAATGTTACTACATGATTTAGAATGTTCAGTGGACATTCAAAAGTATCATTCACATTATGTTTGCAAAATGATGTTAACATTACAAAATTAAAAAAAAAATGGATGTCAGAAATAATATTGTCATTTTTGTTAGCTGGATATGATTCAAAAGGTCCTACCCTATATAAGCAGATTCATATACAACAATTAGAAAAGCTGAATTAATGCGTTTAAATGGACGTTTCTTACCTCTCTGAAAGACTTTTGGTGCTGAAGTATCTTCATGATGTACATCTGGTACACATTTAATCTGCTAGAAGAGATAGAAACAAGCTTAAATAAATATTAACAATTGGAATTGACATGGGGTATTTTCTTGGATGCCAAATGAGATCCATATGATTGATTGAAATGACCATGTAGTGCTAATCTTTTAGGATTCTGTCATTGAATGAGATAACACTGCCCTCTAGAGTTAAAGACAGATCCACTAGACCTGCAGATATGCAGAAACGCAACTCTAAAGACCGTCTTCTATCTCCAGGCAAATGTTCATAACTAAAAGCAAATGACTTTTTGGTACATGTGCTTTTAAGAGTTAGAAATGCCAATGAGTCACTGAGGTATTGAGGAAACTGCTGTTTCAGGGGAACACAGTTGTGCAAGAATGACACATCTGTTTCTGAAAACATGTCGCATTCCGTGATGGATGTTTGATTCACATTTTGGGTCCGTTCTATTAGACATCTTCTTTACTGCATTTTCAATGTTGTGAGGAGAAATGAAGTGTGACTATCGTCATCTTTACACTATACGGTTCAAAAGTTCCATATTCAGCAAGGATGCATTAAGTTGATCGAAACATTTATAATGCTGAAAATATTTTTATTTCAAATAAATGCTTAAATTTGAAAAATAACACTGACTGCTATTTAGTCAGCCTAGTTATTAAGACTTAAAGTCAGATTCAGTTTTAAAAAAAAACATTTGATGATAATTTACTCACCCCCATGTCATCCAAGATATCCATGTCATTCTCATTTTCTTCAGTCGAAAAGAAATTAAGGTTTTTGATGAAAACAAACACTCTGTTTTTCTGAATTAATTAGTTAATTCAGAAAAACAGCACAAATACATTTTCTCGTGAAAAATTAACTCGTTAATTCAGAAAAACAGAGCAAAAACTTTTTTTCTCATGAAAAATTAACTCATTAATTCAGAAAAACAGAGCAAAAAAAATTCTCTCATGAAAAATTAACTCGTTAATTCAGAAAAACAGAGCAAAAAAAATTCTCATGAAAAATTAACTCATTAATTCAGAAAAACAGAGCAAATTTTTTTTTCTCATGAAAAATTATCTCGTTAATTCAGAAAAACAGAGTAGATTTTTTTTCTTCAAGTGAATGCAATACGCCTCCGTACTTATGCACACCCCTTCAAGTAAAGTGTTACCATTTGGACAAACCACTCGGCTCATGCTGTGTTTTCGTCTATTATATGGAAGTAAGCATATTCAAATTAAAAACTCATCTCTCTAGACATTGCTTATTTTTCATATTACTGAACTTTTAACACAATAAACACGTTCTATGTGAATGTTCCCTAGTAGTCTCGAGGTCTGCTTCGTTTCAGAGGCTCATTGTAAAGTTAAGAAGGGCGACTGGCAGCGGTGCATCTCACCCTCTCTGTTGTTGACAAGAGCTGATTTTGAAGGCCAAGGCTGGGGCAGATAAGAAACAAACACCTCCTTGTTCACGAGACCATCTCTGCTCTCACAAGCTTTGATAACACGCGTCTGTCAGTGTCCGGCCAGAAGATGAAGCATGACATCAGCGGCCAGATGCAGACGCGCACTGCATGGCGGGTGATCGCGTTTCTTTTTTATCATGCGTAGCATCTGTTGACGATTGCATGTTCTTGAATGCGTGTTTACAGCTTTTGTTTGTTACACCAGTAAATTAGCTCTGTGATCCTGACCTGATAATGAATCTGGCAGCCAAATGGCAGGGGAGGCCCGTCCGTTCTGGCGGGATAAGCGCTGGAATATAATATATCAGAGCCAGATGCTCTCATAAGGCTTGCGCTCGTATCAAGCTCGGGATTTCGACAAACAAGCACCTGAAGAACGGCCCGCTGCATATTTGTCTGGGAAAAAGATTGTCCGAGACCTTGAGAGAATCTTGTTTTCATTGCTCCCCGTTTCTAGCGTTCTCTTATACTTTTTTTTCTCCGAAAAATGTCCTCGCTAATCGCGACGCTAAGTTTGGGAAAACAAGGGGAGTGTGGGATTTTGCAAAAGAATGGGAGATGCCTTCCTGTGTGTTTCTGTGAGGTTTTTGCGGAGCATTCCACCTGGAGGACGGTGCCGTCTTCCTTTTGTGTCATGTTTGTGTTGAATTACACAATCCTGGCCTCCGAGCGATGTTGGCTCCAGATGGCTTAGCCAAGCGCGACTTAGCACGCAACCAGTCTGTTCGAGAGAGTTTGGAAGAGAAAAAGAAATCGCTAACTCATACACATATCCGCTCGCCTCATACTACTGTCGACATGTAAACAAACTTAAAGGAGTAGTTCACTTTAAAAAAAAAAAAAACTTTTGCTGATAATTTACTCACCCCCATGTCATCCAAGATGTCGATGTCTTTCTTTCTTCAGTCGAAAAGAAATTAAGGTTTTTGATTAAAACATTCCAGGATTTTTCTCCATTTAATGGACTTCAATGGGAACCAAACGGTTCAAGGTCCAAAAGACAGTTTCAGTGCAAACTGCAAACTGTTCAAAGGGCTTTAAACGATTCCAGACAATGAATAAGGATCTTATCAAGTGAAACGATCGTTCATTTAATAAATAAATGACAAAGTTTAAGTTTTATAAGCTCAAATGCTCGGCTCTGTTCTGTGATGCACGTTCATGACTCTCCTATTCAAACTCGTTCAACACAATGAACGAATCTTTTCCAGAGTCAACTCGTTCATTTCGTTCATTGAATGAACCAAATGACTCGAAAAAAGATTTGTTCATTTTGATAAACTAGAAAAATCTTGGAATGTTTTCATCAAAAGCCCTAATTTCTTTTCGACTGAAGAAAGAAAGACGTGGACATCTTGGATGACATGGGGGTGAGTAAATTATCAGCAAAAGTTTTCTTAAAAGTGAACTACTCCTTTAACTAAGAATAATAAACAGTTTAGAAAAACACTTTTATCATTGTTAGTTGGTGTGTTAACAAATTCTAACTTGTAAAGCGTCTAAACTAGCGGTTCTTTACGGTGGAAAAAGTTTCTTTGAATTTTAAAATGTTCTTTATAGGAATAAATGGGTCTTTGAGGTCCAACAATGGCATCGCAGTGAACTTAGCATTTACTTCAAAGCCGTCCGGAGACTTTCATCCGAGATACATTTGGGCGTACTTTCGGATTACTCAGTACCACACCAAAAGACCTTTAGAGACAAATAACACCAAACAAAGCTGTCCGTGAGTACTCTTGCAAACATCACCTGCACGCAACCCGCTAAATGCATCTGTGCAGAACTTAAACAGTCAAGACTTTGATCTCCACCCGTTCTTGATGATAATGAGAGCAAGCTTGGTGTGTACGGAGGAAATCTGTGCGCTGCGTTGTAGTATAGGACTATTTTTATAAGGTGCCTTTAAGAGATGGAGCTCGGCAGACCCATTAAAGCGATGGTGTCGCCCCGACCCCCTGGCCCTGGAGGTGATGGGTGAAGATAGTCTCTATCCGCCTCTCTCAACATCAGCCGTACCTCTTCTGTCGAGCACAGCCTTCCAAGAACGTCCCAGGAGAGCCGCAGCGTTCAGATCTGTGCTGTTTGTGCTATAGAGAGTCAATGGAAAAACATGTTAGTGCCACAATGCAGTGTTATTGTTAATGGAAACTAGAAATGAAAGCATTTCACTGAAAATATATATAAAGCATCATTTGGGTGGGAAAATTACTCTAAACTAAAACCCAAAACTAGCTAAAATGGCCGCAAAGTCTATTTAAAAAAATACCTTTATAACCTGCCTTCATTAAACATGAAAATGTCACTAAATATTATGGAGAACTGAAAAGTTGAACTTATTTCTATATCATCAGTTAAGCCTTTTGGAAACAACCATTTCCAATAAGTTGGATCTTGTTAACATTAATTAATGCAATAGATATCATAAACTAATAATGAACAACATTTTTTTTTTTACAGAATCAATATAAACAACAATATACAATATTTAATAATAATACACCAACATACTAATATAAATATACTATTTTTAGTATAGTATTGTTTTGTTTTAGAATAGATTAGCTAATGTGGAATCTGACATTAAAATTTATATGTAATATTTCCAATGCAATGCAATGATTGTTTATTTATAGTTCAAGATAGCCCGTGATACAACAAATTTAAAAGTAATTACAAACTAAACATACTGAAAACCACAAAACTCTCGAAAAACAACTAAACCGGATAGGACGAAAACGTTCTTGACCTGCATCGTCCATGTGATATTTACGCTTTTTTCAACTTCTGGATACAATGTCAATAACATTTCAGTACAAATGTCTGTGTTAATGAGAGTCTATGAGCACGTATTGATCACCAGTCTCTCGGTTTGTCCTCAGATACCTGGCAAAGCTGTCCTCAGTGGGGAGCATCTCTGATGAAGAAACCTGTGAGAAGCTCCGAGGACTCATCCAGAGGCAGGTGCAGATCTGCAAGCGGAACGTGGAGGTGATGGACGCGGTCCGCAGGGGAGCCCAGCTCGCCATCGACGAGTGCCAGTTTCAGTTCCGCAACCGCCGCTGGAACTGCTCCACGCTGGAGAGTGTCCCTGTGTTCGGGAAAGTGGTCACACAAGGTGAGTAGAGTCCCATTTAAAAGAACATGAAGCCAGCTCAGCTTAAAAGCCCAAAAATTATGTCTTTAACGCAGGGGCGTAGCCAGAATTTTATTTTTGGGGGGTCCCGTCTTTAAATGAGGGGGCAACATTATTTATATATACTGTATATCAAGTTGATCTTTCCGTGCTTTTTAAAAAAAGTGTAATATTGTACTTTGAGTTTGAGCGCCTGCCATTGTCACGGCATATTAACTCTCACGCAAAGATGAAGATGACAGCGTACGTTGCGCGCAACACGTTATATAAACAAATCAAGTTTGAAAATAAGCTGCATTTTACCGCGCAGCATTTTGATTGGTCAATCTATCAATCCTAATACAACAACTTTTTTTTTTTTTTTTTAAGCAATCAGAAATCTGAGGGGACCGGACATGAAAATGAGGGGGCCTAGGCCCACCCAGACCCCCTCGTGGCTACGCCACTGCTTTAACGTCTCGCCCTCATGTCGTCCCAAGCCCGTAAGAACACAGTTTAAGATATTTTAGATTTAGTCCGAGAGCTTTCTGTCCGTCCATTGTAAATGTGTGTACGGTATACTGTCCTTGTCCAGAAAGGGAATAAAGACATCATCAAAGTAGTCCATGTGACATCAGTGGGTTAGTTACAATGTTTTGAAGCATTGAAAATACATTTTGGTCCAAAATACACTCTTAGAAGAAAAGGTTCTATATAGAACTTTAAAAGGTTCTATCAGTGCTACGTATTTGGAAACCCTAAAAGGTTCTATACACTCTTAAAAAAGGGTTCCTCTGGGTTCTATATAGAACCCTGGGGTTCCATACTTGGCCAATAGAACCTTTTACCAAAAAAAAAATGGTTCTATATAGAACCATTTTGGAGTTGCATATATGAAGTGGGGGATGGAACCATTTCTGGTTCTAAATAGAACCATTTCTTCTAAGAGTGTAACAAAAACTATGAATTTATTCAGCATTGTATTGTCTTCCGGTTTTGTTGTGGATCCGCGTTCAGTGACGCGGCTGACATGTATCTGGTGCGGCCGAGCTTCGGTTACAGTCTGAGGGAGACGCACGCTGTACAAAACACTCTTCACAAACATGTCTAAGGATTTCGAGACTTGCATTTTTTTGCCCAGCAATATTTATTTGAACCTGAATACATGGACGCACCACACACATCTGAACCATAGACTGTAAAAAAATATGGACGTAGTGTCCGTGACGTCACCCATAGGTTTCTGAAGAGCGATTTTGAGGCCTAAAGTGGGCGGGGCCGACCGTCGCCATCTTGGCAGTGCGTCACCTCTCGTCACTACCGGATAAATTAAAATGGGCAAAGAGGAGGGAAGCGGGTGGAGCTGAGGTGCTAATGCTATGCTACTGCCGCTGAATTGACAGCTGATTGAAAAAGTAAAGCCAATGGTTCATAAAGTTCATGTTTTGCCCTTCGAAATATTATAATAGTTAAGACGTAACTAAAAGTGAGACTACTTAACTTTTTTTATCAACTTTATTAATCTCACAAGGGGCAATTAGTGAAGAGCATATATACAAGTACATTAACACAGATCACACACATTTCTCACAACATACAAGCAGTCAACTATGTGCATTGTGATGCATTATTATTCTGCTAGTTAAAATGTATAAGTTACTTACAATATTGCTCTAAGCTTGTGCATGCGACAGTGATTCAAGGCAACACATGTCAGTCGACATCTCACGTCAGTCCATTTTACAATCTGATTTTGGCCGCCTCTCAGTTTCTCAGATGGGTCAAACCAAATATTACCTCAGAACTTAAAGTAAATGAACTAGAAATCCGCGCTCATTCAAGGGTGTGCATCTATTGCATGGACAGAGAGAAAGCACTGAAATCATCAGACATCCATTAGTGCATGCGAGGGAAACAGCTGGAAACACGGCGCTGGTTGCTCTCTCCATACTCAACACGACGGAATCCAACGGCGTGCATGGGCGAAGGTATAATACATGTATTAAACTGTATGAAATAATCCCGGTAAAGCACAAACACAGCTGAGGGTGACGCTAACAGACAGCAGACAAACGACAGTGAGTGAACGCGGCAGCAAGAATCCACCTGTCACTCAAGTGGCCACGCCCTTAATTATGCAGAACATTAAGGCTTAAATATAATTTAAACAGATGAGTTGTAAAAAAATTCACCCCCCTCACAGTTGTCATGAAGGGAAAAATGAGGTCTATAGACCGAAGACACTTTTTGCTCCAGGCTGTAAACATGTTTTTTTCTGCTGTAAAGTTGGGCATTTTAACATGGGGGAGATACAGATTTGACTCGCTTCTGCAGCCTGCCTCAAGCGGCCACTCGATAAATTGCAGTTTAATTCACTTCCGTGTTGGCTTCAAGAGAGAGACGGGGAGGTTGCCGCTTGATCTGAACGCGGATCCACAACAGAACCGGAAGACAATACAATGCTGAATAAAGTCGTAGTTTTTATTATTTTTGGACCGAAATGTATTTTCGATGCTTCAAAACATTGTAACTAACCCACTGATGTCACATGGACTACTTCGATGATGTGTTTATTACCTTTCTGGACAAGGACAGTATACCGTACATTTATTTTCAATGGAGGGACAGAAAGCTCTCTGACTAAATCTAAAATATCTTAAACTGTGTCCCGAAGATGAACGGAGGTCTGACGGGCTTGGGACGACACGAGGTCTCATTAATGACATCATTTTCATTTTTGGGTGAACTAACCCTTTAATGTGTGCTTATTTCTGCCTCAGGTACCAGAGAAGCTGCGTTTGTGTACGCTCTATCTGCTGCTAGCGTAGCCTTCGCAGTGACCAGAGCCTGCAGCAGTGGAGAGCTGGACAAGTGTGGCTGTGACCGCAATGTGCACGGTGTCAGTCCAGAAGGTATGTGTGCTTTATCTGAATAATAATTATGATGATTAATCAGTAGCATTGCTATGAATACCCAGACTGAATGGTAAAAGTTCTGCTCATTAAAGCAACTTATCCTGATCACTTTGATAGGAAGAGTTGACATGTGAAGTGATCAGTCACGATTCAAAGGTGCCATTTATGATCTGAAACATATTGTTATACAATAATATAATACTATACAAATATATTCTGCAATCTTAACATGTTTATTAAATGTGTCGAAATAAAATGTTTAACAGAATAATTGTAAAATATTTGTTGAATATTTCTATATTATTACCGGTATTGTTTCATTCTGCTTTCTAAGAACTGTGCAGAAATAATTAGATAGTGATTTATTATTGTTATTATACTGTCAGCTATAGTTACTTTAATTAAAAGTTTAACTAAGATAAAAACAAAACAAAAATATTATTTTAAAGATTTATACACCTAACATTACACTTTCAACGGATCGAAAATAAATATGCATGTATATACTTTATATATATATATTTATACAAAATTTATATTATACATGAATATAAATATTTGATATAATAATAATTAATATATACATGCATATGTGTGTTTATATATACAAAATAATTATACACACTACACACATATATTATGTAAACACAAACTTTTATTTTGGATGCGATTAATCGTTTCAGAGCCCTAGTTATTAATATATAAAATATTAATATTTAGATGTATTTCTTAAATATATACATGCATGTGTGTGTATTTATATTATATATATATACACAATTATATATATATATATATGAAGAGTTCAGATGCAAAAGCCTCTAAGTGCCATTTGAAATTTTCTTCTAAAATGACCATTTTTATCAAGCTTGTATATTTAAGTTCAGTAATTTTACTTAAATGGCAATGAAGATTACCTATTAATTGTCATTTAAGTGAAATTACTGAGCTTAAATATACAAGTTTGATAAAAATGGTCATTTTAGAAGAAAATTTCAAATGGCATTTATTTAGAGGCTTTTGCATCTGAACTCTTCATATATACACACAATTATACACACTACACACACGTATATTATGTAAACACAAACTTTTATTTTGGATATGATTAATCACGATTAATCGTTGCCCAGAGTGATGATTTACCAATCCAGTACCTTGCAAACAACTTTGTCTCCATATGGACTGATAAAACGGCAGATTTCTCACTACCTTCTCCACTCGACCGTCTTCATCTCGACAGGTTTCCAGTGGTCAGGATGCTCAGATAATATTGCATATGGGGTTGCTTTTTCCACGTCGTTTGTGGACATCAGGGAACGAAGTAAAGGCCAGTCCTCCAACAGAGCCCTAATGAACCTTCACAATAATGAGGCAGGGAGGAAGGTAAGAGGCTTTACAAACATCACCGCTGTTCATCACACACTCATTATTTGTTAATAAATGACACTTCTCTTACCATCCCCAGGCGATTCTGAACCACATGCGAGTGGAATGCAAGTGCCACGGTGTTTCGGGCTCCTGCGAGGTGAAGACCTGCTGGAAAGCGATGCCGCCGTTCCGCAAAGTGGGCAACGTCATCAAGGAGAAATTCGACGGCGCCACAGAAGTGGAGCTGCGGAAAGTGGGCACCACCAAGGTCCTGGTTCCACGAAACTCGCAGTTCAAGCCGCACACGGACGAAGATCTGGTGTACCTGGACCCGAGCCCAGACTTCTGCGAGCACGACCCCAGAACGCCGGGCATCATGGGAACCGCGGGGCGCTTTTGCAACAAGACCTCGAAGGCCATCGACGGCTGCGAGCTCATGTGCTGCGGTCGCGGCTTCCACACCGAGGAGGTGGAGGTGGTCGACCGCTGCAGCTGCAAGTTCCACTGGTGCTGCTACGTCAAGTGCAAACAGTGTCGCAAGATGGTGGAGATGCACACGTGCCGGTGATCCAGGTGGCACGACTTCCCCTCAACACGCACAGGGAGACTAGGCAAATCCACACAAGGGAAGACAGAGACATTCCCAAGCAACAAAAGAGGAACATGTCATACATGAGACTATACATATCCGACGTCCCAATTGAGAGTATTTTTCTCTCTCCTCGTTCTGTTTTTAATTGCAGTTGCTCTCTTATTTTTATATATATATATATGTATATTTTTTAACTTATTGCAATCGAATAGAGAGTGAATTTTTAATGTGACGCGCACCAGAGGAGTGCCATTGGGAACGGGGTTACCGACAGATGTTGACCCGGCAGGATATGGAGAAAGGTCAATGTTTTAAAAGCTGCTGCTTTAGGGCTTCATCTTGAAAGATGGGAACTATCGAAACACTACGCGCCGAGACGCGCTCCGGGCGTACGTGTACTTTCCATACTCGTTGCCATTCGTTCCTGTGATGCTGCTTGAATTCAAGAATCACTCACCGATAGCGTATACAGCTGAGTGTTAAAGCGAGCCCTGCTCCGAACCAACTCCGAACCGGGCGGAGTGGAAATATCACAAGTGTTAACGAGCCGTTCAAAAGGAGCGCTTTGAAAATAAAGTCGTAGCTAGTGGCGCAGACTGATCGTTGGTGCTGAGCTGCAACCATGCATCTGGCGCAAAACTGACAAACATAAATTGTTTACCCGCTTGGACCGACCATGGATTCTGTGCACGACGACTCTAGCACTTTTCCTCTCCAGACGCACATACCACAAATAAACAAATCCCCCAGCATTCCCTGCTCCATTAGTCAGACTGATTATTTATGGCGACTATGTACGATACCATAACTCCAAGCTTCTCTATAGTACAACTTGCTATCCAGTATGCTTTTAAAAGAAACATAGGTTTGTAAAGACTTATACACTGAAGAGGACTTTATTTCATATGAATGTATGTTAAAATGAAATATATGCTGTGTCAAAGACTGACATCCTTGTGCGTGTGCTTATTGCTCTTTGCAAACAGGCATCCTTAGTTAACTAGTTTCACCAAAAAAAAAACATGCTGACCAATCTGGTCTTTTTTTTAGCAGGGTACAATAGTTGGATGGGTTTCACATTAGGAGAAAAGTCTACATTTTGTAGAGTTTGGTTTTGCAATCTTGCTGCAAACGATTTGTTAAAGTAATACAATACAAGTTCAATACAAGTTAAAGGAGTAGTTCACTTTTAAAAAGACTTTTGCTGATAATTTACTCGCCCCCATGTCATCCATGATGTCCACGTCTTTATTTCTTCAGTCGAAAAGAAATTAAGGTTTTTGATGAAAACATTCCAGGATTTTTCTCCATATAATGGACTTCAATGGGAACCAAACGGTTCAAGGTCCAAAAGACAGTTTCATTGCAAACTGTTCAAAGGGCTTTAAATGATTCCAAACGATGAATAAGGGTCTTATCAAGCAAAACGATCGCTCACTTAATAAATAAATAACAAAGTTTAAGTTTTAGAAGCTCAAATGCTCGCCTTGCTCTGTTCTGTGATGATCGTGACTCTCCTGTTTAAACTCGTTCATCAAAATGAACGAATCTTTTCCCAAGTCAACTCATTAATTTCCGTCATTGAATGCACCAAATAACACGAAAAAAGATTCGTTAATTTTGATAAACGAGTTCGAACAGGAGAGTCACGAACGTGCAATATACATCTTAGTAACAGACATTGGTATTACCAATATATATATATTAGCTGTGCAAAGATTAATTGTGATTAATCACATCCAAAATAAAAGTTTGTGTTTACACAATATATTTGTGTATGCTGTGGATAATTATTTTGTATAAATACACACACATCTATGTATATATTTAAGAAATATAATTGTTATTCAAATATAAAATATTTATATTTATATATAATATAGATATGTATATATATATATATATATATATATATATATATATATATATATATATATATATATATATATATAAATATAAATATTTTATATTTGAATAACAATTATATTATATATATATATATATATATATATATATATTTACGTGCAAATAATTCTTAAATATATACATGCATGCATTTGTATTTATATATGCATAATAATTCTACACAGCATACACACAAACTTTTATTTTGGATGCGATTAATCGCAATTAATCTTTGCACAGCCCTAATATCTAATATACAATATATAATATATAAATAATAAAGAAAATATATATAAAAAATATATATATATATATATATATCAAAAAACTGTCGTTTCTTCTCTTCAAAAAAGAATTGTAAAAAATTTGCAAACACTGTCAGTCTTCCATAATTTAGACAAACAGATATTCCAATCTCCAAACTTACTATATTGGCAAAAGCAAATGTTGTGTCCAGTCGGACTGCTCAAACAAACAGATCAGTGCAGAAATAATAGACTTCACCTTTAAATACATATATTAAACATACACCTGAATAATAAAGCCTCACTGCATACGTGTCTGCAACATCTAACTACTCTACTCCACCCTTGCTGTAGCATTTCACCTTTAATTGATGTTGCAAATGTCATCAAAGCACCTCTGGCTTTTCTCCGTTGAAAACAGTGAGAGCTTGCGCACTAGTTTAAAACAATCCAACCATGTCATTTTATATGTACATTTTAAAGTCAGCATCCATATTCCTTGGTAATACCGATGTCTGTTACTAATAAACTGCTTTGAGGAACAGGAAGATGTGGTTTAAAGGGAGGAGAGTTTAACTTTTATTGTGCAGTGGGATATTAAAAAAAATCTAAGAAATCCTCATAATATCCAGCACATCCTGTGTTTGTGTGGAAGTAGAGATATTGGGGCCTAAACACTGCTTTTCGCTGCATAGTTTTGAAATTCGTACTGTAACATGCAGACATGCTTTACTATCATGAGTGTTTCAGGATGACTTTTTAACATCTATACACAACAATCTGCCTGTGACAGCAAGACATTTCACCCATTGCTGTTTTGGGACAAATATACGGGCCTGAATGTGTAAAAATCAGTGTGTATATATGAGAATAGATGTAAAATGCGCTTGAGGGAGATTTCACTATGAGAAATCTAATCCTGTCAACAGAATGGCCCTGTCACCGCCTCTTTGATGGAAAATACCACACAGTAATTTAATATTTGGAAAGGCTTTTCCAGGGACATAACATAATTATCAACCTACAATTCAATAAAGGAACTCAAAGATCAGGGGCTTTAGCCTTTCAGCTACTTTTAATATGACTTTGGTCTCTGAAGTCATCACAGGAACATTTGTTTGATATGCCAAGTGTTATGGGGTGAAAGTCAATGGCAAATATGCTATTTGTGGCCATTTATATATGTATTTATACATGAATAATAAATAAATACATATATATTTATAAATATAATCATTTCATTTCAATTTTTATAAGGGACGTACTGTACTGTGTGTGTGTGTGTATATATATATATATATATATATATATATAAATTAAAGTTTAATTCTGTAGCTGACAATACAGTATTTCGCTGTTAGTTTCAAAAACAGTAACACACCGTAATTTTACAGTATGATGCTGGCAACCACAGCTGCCAGTAGTTTACCGTTTTTTTTTTTTTTTTACAGTGATATAAATTATTTTACTGTTTTTGTTTTTCATAAATGTAAACTGTACTGAGTAGTAATTTATCCACTTCCGTTTCACACTGTATACACACTCACCTGAGGACATGAGGAGGAGATGAGTGCAGAGAAGTTCAGCGAGGGTCTGGAGTGAAACGAGCGCTCCTCTCTCTTCCCAAGCCTTCCTCAACTCACAGATCTCTACCAACATACTTCTCATATTAAAAGAAAACAAGTAACACAAATGAGACAGATGTTTCTTGTTTGTGATGACAGTTGCCATACTCCTCCCCCTCTTCCCTTACTTTCTGTGTGTGTAAAGCATCAGGTTGTGCAATGACCTGGGCCCAGAAAGACATCATCTATACCCAGTTCTGGTGCAGAATCTATACGGTTTCCTCATTCATTTTCACATTTTAGCAGGAATCATTTTGCACTACTTATCTCGGCTCACCCTAGCAGCACAAACTGGCTTGAGTCATTTACACACTAAAATTGTTTTTTCTTATCTTTCTTGAATCTAATTTGATTCTATTATCATTGATCTGCTGTAAACTCATCACTTTGCCAAGTAAAAAATTTAATACCAATTGTCTTTAACATAAAAGAGACAGTCATTTGCAAAATATGTAACTAATAGTTCATAGAAAAATGAAAACACTGTCATCATTTACTCACCTTGAAAACTCGACTTCGATGGAATAATAATAACAAAGTTGTTTAAGAATATTGTCCAGCTATAAAACAGTAGCATGCAGTGTCTCCACTATATTCACTCATGATAATGTCACTTTGGTGTGCTCTTCTCCCCAAAAATGCTATTAATGTTATCGCCTTGGACTAAAACTTACTGACTCTGCTCACACAGGGTAAAACACGTTCGACAAAAAAGTATGTTTGTTCCTGCAGACTGGTCATTTTTGACAGTGAACAAAAACTGCTTATAAATCTCTTGTTATGGTATATTAATCACCAAAATTATATAGGTTAAGTGAAAACAAGTACTCTCAAGCTACAATCAGACACACACACACAAAAAGTTGCATTAACTCAGATCAACGAGGCTACATGATCAATCAGTTCCGAAAAGAAATACAAAACCTTAATTAAAAGAGAACAAGTTGACAAAGATTGAATCTAATATTTGTTGATAGTAGCACGAGAGATTTACAAGCAGCTTAAAAGGCTCATGGTTTAACACAGCACAAGAGTTAATAAAACTCATATTAATCCAACGCATTCTCATCATATAGTGACGCTTTTGACAATGCGTATACATCCAACGCACATGGCACCCTTTAGCATCAATATAACACGCTTCTTGGGATGAGAACGGGCTGATCAATCACAATTAGTACCACAAAAATGGAAATTTAGGCAGGTTTCATGAACAGAAATTCACTGGTGGAAAATGGTTGGGAAACTAAAAATGATGTCTCCACTCTTAGAAAAAAAGGGTTCATTGGGGTTATATGAAGAATAGGGTTCTTTACTTAACTCCAAAGAACCTTTTATGCTAAAAAAAGGTTCTATAATGACAAGAAAGAACCCTTTTGTAATTGCTATTATTTATTCATATATTACATTATTCTGCAACATTTTGTAGTTGTAATTAAATTATTGTTCAACTGTTGTAGTAACTTTAATCATGCTGATCTTTGGAGGAGAAAAACTAAAAATGGCACTCTTCGTGTGATATTGATTAGCTACATAAAATGATATATATATATACATTTTCTAACCCCCATATCTTGAATTTTGTGATCATTCACATGCATTCATAAATACATTTTAGGGTTTTGATGTTTGTCAATAATATGAAATATTTAATCCGGAAAGGAAGGAACGAAACAAATGATAATGAAGAACCTTTTTCCTGGTTACAAAGTAGGGTTCTTATTATTGAACCCTTAAAAGGGTTCTGTATAGAACCTTTTAGGGGTTCCAAATACATAGCGCTGAAAGAAACTTTTAAGGTTCTAAATAGAACCTTTTCTTAAGAGTGCCCATTAAAGAAATCCGTTGCATTCAAGACTAAAAGAGCAATTACTTAATGCACCTTTACACTCAACAACCCCCATTTGGAGTTAAACGCTAATGATCGTCTTTGTGAACAGCACACTATAAAATGCTGGATTATTTCAACTCAAATTTGGGTCAAATATGGACAAACCCAAATGTTAGGTTAAAAATGTAATTAAAAAATGTACAGTTGAGGTAAAATTTTAAATGACATTTTTAACCCAACATTTGGGTTAGTCCATATTTTACCCAGTTTTGGGGTTAAAACAAGCCAACATTGTTTAGAGTGCACGAATGACTTGAAGGTTCAAGTTGGGGCAGCGGCTCAA